ATCAATGATCATAATCCTAATTTTATTGACGTGGATTTCTGTTTTAAATTCGATTTGCCGTGTTCATTAATTATTATAACTATTAGAAAAGTATCTGTAAAAGAATGTATCAATTATTCTACGAAAGTAACTTTTTAGTATATTATTATATAAATATTGATCAAGCCGGAAACGCTACAATAACATGGTTAGCGCCGGGCACCGTATGTACTCATTAACGCCTATAATACCTGACTTGACGAACACCGACCGAGCTGTATAATGTGTGTGTATATATGTGTAGCAAGGCTCAAAGGAAATTGACGCATTCGCCAAACAGCTCAATGAGTGCTAGTCTATGGGTGGTGTGTGCATATTTAAAACTAATGGTAAGGGGTAATTCAAATAAATTATAACAATTTTTGATTATTTGTTGCTGTATAATACCCAAATTTAAATAATAAACAGTTTTCATTTACAGAAAATCAAGGGTTTAGAAAAATATATAGGTACMTATATACACGATTCAATAATAACTATGAACTTCTTAGCCAATCAGGTAAAAAATGTTTATGTGCAGCTATTAAGCTCAAGCACTTGTATAAATATAAATTGATGAAAATATGACAATTCAGACCTTTTTTGGCCAGTTGATAAATATAATTAATAATAAAAACGTAAAGATAAACTTCTGATATTTAATGATTTCTACACTTCTTCTGGGAACCAACAAGAGACAATAATATAAWACATTAAAATAAAACGATAAAAAGTCACCGATTGACGGAGCAATGCTGTCTAGCAGCTACATGTCCCTTAGAGATTATAAAGACATTCACAATATTACTATGGTTATAGTTATTACAAGTTGAGTTTACGCTSAAGTACAAAAAAATATAAAGTGTCCACTTGTGTGTTGAAATATGTGCACACAAATCTTACGAACGACTACTATTGTTTTTAGTTGACAAGCCGGTGGCGACCGATAATGAATCACGCGTCGTCTTAATATATTATTATATAATTCACAACACAATTATTATGTAATGCCAAAAATACAAAAATAAAGACAATTCAGAAGTTTGATGTGTGCGCGTGTGTGTGTTTTTGCTATATTGGTCGGTGGCTTCCCTGATAATAATAGTAGTGTATATGGTGATTAGGTGCTCGGTCGCGAACTATAATGTTATATTTCACAAATAATAAAAGTTAACTTTATTAAATTAATTTATATATAGCATAAAATCTTATAATTACTTATGTAATACATTTATAAAATTTCAAAATACTTTATTATCCATAGGTACCACATTAGTAAAAATTCTTCGGCAAAATATGTTCAAGATTTTTGTTTTTTGTTCAACGATCTTTTTAGGACGAATCTTTCAAGGCCCGCCTAGAAAGTCAAATTAATTAACAAAACTGGAAAATAATTTATTGAGATATCACATAAAAAATTATCTATAAATTATTTATAAACACTAAATATTTAATAAAACAGTAGTATTCTTTAATATAACATTTAGTGTCATGAATGGATAACTATATATAAATGACCTAAAAAATAATCTTATAATTTTAAAATTTAATAGAGATGCTAGACGATTTTACAACCTTGGACAGTAAGTTAATATTTATCAATTAATACGTTAACTTTATTATTATAATGGTATAGTTTCAATAAAAAAAGGGGTAAGTGAATGACGCTCTGCTGTACAGTCGGTTACAATTATTGGATTAATGTAATGGATGCTATTATATTTGAATTCAATGATATAGTATCTTTAAATACGAAAAACAATTCTGAGCGTAGACGAATTGTCAGTTTAGGATATTTTATATTAAAAATTAATTATATATATAATATGTAATTTCATCCAAGTTTGAATTGTATTAAACTATAAAAAAAACTGTGCTAAATAATTAATATAGTGTAAATTTCACGTTGATACAGTGATTCGTTTTTGAATGACTACAAGTATGAATATCGGTACAAGAAAAATTTAATGAATTTCCAATGTTGTAAAAATTTAAAATTTAAATGCTTATAAAAATTTTAATTTATTTTCCGGCAGAAATTTTTATTTCATAAAATTAGACGAACTTATAAGGCATCTTGTATAAAATTTTCAAATCTTAGATTTAAAAAGATAAAATTTTATGAATTTCTAACTCAAAATAATTTTCACATTTTTGTGATTTTTACGTATTTTGTTTAAATACTTAACTTTTAATGCTTATAAAAAGAAATTGTGGCAATGTAATTTTAATATTTCTTAATTACCATTGAAACAATATATATGGTATCTTTTATTAAATTTCGAAGCTGTTTACAAGAGGAAAAAAATTTTATATCTATAATAATAATAATATTATCTATAGAAAAAAAAAACTAAATAAATTGAAAATTTCAAATGTCTATAAATAACTTTTAAAAATTTTTAAAATATAATCAAGAATATAAAATGCTAGTATAAACAATCAGTGAAAATTTCATGTATCTCCGGTAATTTTTTATAGAGATACTACACCAATATCCAAAATCAAAGTTGTCAAAAAYTGTTTTTAYGTAAAAATTTCCGTTTTTTGTTAATATATATTTTTGTTTATATCGGAGCWTTTGAAAACTACAGGGGTTTTCAGAAAGCTACTGAAGTTGAAAATTGAATCATAATTTCGATAACCTATTGTGTATACAGACACAGAGAAAAAAAACGTCATTGTAAAATTATCGCTCCTCTCAGAATCTAACGTTGAAGGTGTGTTAACATTAAACTTTCTGGATATTTAAATAAAACAATAATTTCAGTTTGTTAATAACTTGTCTAACCAAAATTGTTTTATATATTATTAGTTTATTACAATTTAATTTTGAACATTTGACAGGACTAATCGATAATCTGAATGCCAACTGAAATTTATACATTTCTGACGACCAGTTATTATGTGTACATACAATAGTGTTACTTCTCCCCTGGGTTTAAGTCCCCCAATTGACGACAAAACCTGCTTGTATGGTAAATTTATAAACTCAAAAAGCCATTTCAGTAAAACCTCTCTATAACGGACCCTCTATTAAGCGGAATCTTCCTTATAACGGAAAATGTCAATAGTCCCGTTGCAAATAACATATATGTAATTTCTACCTCTTTATGACAAAAAACTCTTTATAACCGAAAAATGTTTGGTCCCATATAGAGAGGTTTTACTGTATATGAAAAAGTGGCGTGACCGTTCACAAGAAGATATAACAAATCAGTTTTTAAATATCTTATCGCATCATTAGGTCCATCGGACTGATGGACAAAAGATTGTTTTAGTCGAAAAAACGATCGGTATCGAATCCCCTTAAATGATCATACATTCTCTCACACTAATGATCGCTTTTTGGTTACTACACATAAATTTCACAATCCGAATGCATAAACAAATGAAAATTTGTTTAATAATTTAAAAAAACATCACCATTTTTGAAAACGATCATTATCGCATCCTTTAATACATTACAGATATTATGTATTACTAATGTTTAATTTTTATAATCGTATAAACATCAAATTTTAACAAAACTCATCAGTATCAAAAATTTTTAATTACTTATCATATATTGACCAACTATACATTTAATTTACAGCAGTGTGGTATCCACTTTCTTATCTTTTTTCCTTTATATTTTCACCTTTTAAAATATCAATAAAAAACATTTTGATGCGTCAAACAGTATGAAAAGTGCAAGCCGAGTTATGAGTATTTTTAGATATAAAAATTATTTAMAATTTTAAAATACTCATTACTCGCTTTAAAATTAAAATATAATAAAAAGCCTTTGAGATGCACTTGGTAATAATCTTGCCTTTAATTTTTATAATAGGTCAATTCACTCTAAATTTYAAAATAACGGAGATAAACGTGATCTGCTGAGCGTAAAATTTGCTATGTTACGCACTTGTACGACGAAGACAACACATGCGGGTGTGGCGTCCTCTTAATATAGTAATATAATCGAATCGTGGTAAAAAAAGTCCGGATCAAAAAGTCCGAATTGAAAAGGTCCAGAGTATATTATATACATATCAATATTTAAAATGGATTATTAAAAAAAAAAAAATTGCAATGATTATAAACTATAATTACGTACTTAGTATCATCTATATTTCGCATCCTTTTAGTGAAATCATTCATTCATGAAGAAGATGTTCACTTCATGAAATGTATCCATTTAGTGAAAATGACTTTTTTCTACACCATATGGATAATTTTTTAACCTTTTCATGAAGTGGATGAAATTCATTTTATCCACATTGTGTAAAATTACTATTAATATGTATGATAATATGGTATAATATAATATATTAATATAGCATTTAAATATAAAGAAATATGAAAATTAAAAATAAATAATTATAATTATAATTAAAATTATATATTTTCTTGAACTTTATTCTATATTTTATTATTTATTTTTACAAGGTTGAGAGTTATGACAACGACTATTGCACAACAGTTTTTTTTTTTTAAAACAGGCACATCTTGATGTTTGACACGAGATTTTTGATTTACATGAACAAGAAAAAAACCTTGTCCCCTTGTTATGACTGTCACAGTTTCTCGAACAGTTAGCTCTTTGTCTAACACAATCTCGTCACTCTTTAAAAATGTCTCACATTTTTTTAAACAATCTCCTCCATACCATCCTTTAATCATTACAGGTTTAGTTCCTAGCTTATACAGTTTATTTTTTTTTTCAACAACTAAACATATAATATTTGGCGGATCTGTTTCCCAAATTCGGGTTTAATTCTTATATTCTCATGTTCAATTATTTTTATATTTTATATCCTATATTTTTATTTTTTTAATAACTTGTGTTTTATTTATTTATTTAATTAAATAAATTCTTACGTTTTAGTTTTAGCAGCTTCAATCTCGGCGATCACTTGAATTTGTTCCTCTTGACTAAAATGTTTTTTTTTTGGCTTCGGAATATAATATTCTTGTAACTTTTCATAGAATAATACTTTTTCCATATTTTATCATTTTATAAAATTACGTATTAGTAAGTCAACAACTGCAGGTATAAGGCAGACTGGCAGACAATAGTCAACGGGATCATACGCTAACTGTACATTTGTATATTGCTATATATCTGTACAGTCATTATATATCTTATCATGAAATTAACAGATCAACTGACGAACTAGTTTATACAATGTACGAGTTACAAATTATAACAAGCGACTTTTATATTTATTTAAAACACAATTATCTAGTGTAAATCGTACAATTACCCAATACCAAAAATATTCATGCATAATAGTCATTTTACACAATGTGGATAAAATGAATTTCATCCACATCATGAAAAGTTTAAAAAATTGTCCATAATATGGTGTAAAAAGTCATTTTCACTAAATGGATGCGACATATAATATATATCAAAATGGATTTCTGTCTGCTTGTCTTTTATGCATTCCTAAACGGATTGAYCAATCACGACGAAATTTGGTACAGAGATATATTAGACCTATGGGCAGAAGGTAGGCTAAGTTAAAAAGTGACACACTTAAATATCATTCAATTGAATATTTGAATTGCCAGAGTTTTCTCGATAAAACGAATAAATTTACATAATGATAAGTTTATTAATTAGTATATTTTAACCATTATCTATGTGTGCGCCCTGAATAGGGGCAACCCGAAGGACCACTCGGGGGAAGTCCGCGACCTGAAATCGCCTGGTTTGGGCCAATGCCTCCACTAACGCCGACTATTTGCGTGGGTAGGCAACTCAACGTTCCCTCGCCTGAGAAGGTATAAGGTAGGCAATTCTACGAACGATGGTGATGACCAGGACGGGAGAAACTAACAAAGGAATGAGGATGTTGTAATCTAATTATGGGGAGGGGGTCTCTGTGGTCGGTTCGGTCTGGTGCAATAACCACAGAGCCAACAACAAACAGCGACAGTACTTAAATATAATCTTAAAACTATTGACGTCTTGATGTGGTTGAGCTGGACCGACGATCTGGACGTACTGGGCGGCCTCTCACACAACGTATGTTGCTGGCGGACTTACGCGTGAACTAACCGTTGACACCGACGTGGTTGAGCTGGATCGACGATCTGGACGTCCTGGGCGGCCTCTTACACAACGTACGTTGCTGGCAGACTTACGCGGAACTCTTTTGGCGGTGACGTGGGTGTATGGACATAATAATAAGTACTCACGGTTTGTTTGGTTGGTATGTTTATTTTTGGTTGATCGCACAATGCGATTTGATAAATATGGGCGGTATTCTTTTCGCCCAAAAATGACCCTTTGCTTTTCGCCCACGTCTCTTTTTGCCCAAATATTTTAAAACTACTTTCCCTTTTCGCCCAAGAATATTATATATAGCACTTTTCGACCAAATTTTTATAATACACACTTTGGGAAACACTTACGTTAAATTATTTATATCTAACATAATAATAAATTTGTTATATTTAAATAATTAATTTTATAAAGCCATTTAGCATTACCCAGAGAGTACCACGAGGAGGCGGCTTCTATTACTCTTCTAAAATACGTTTTTGTACAGTTTATACGTTTATAAATTTATACGTGCACGGTACTTTTAAATATGCGTCAAGATTTTTTAACCAAATGTTCACTTTACATGGATTTAAAAATGGACATTATATTCCGTTGGTATTTTGTTTGCTCATTGATAAATCGGTCAAAACTTATGAATTTGTGTTTACTATGATTGTTGAAAAGTGTATTACACATGGTTTTTTATTTTCACCAAAAAACATTACCGTTTATTTAGAATTAGCAATTTATAAAGCTATTGAAAATGTCTTGCTGAATACAACAATAATTGGATGCTGATTTCATTTAACTCAATCATGGTGGAGAAATATTCAAAAGTGTGGCTTAACTTCTTTCTATAAAGACGAATCTTTAGAAATTGGTAAGTGGATACGGTACACATTTGGTTTAGTATTTTTAAACCCGGATAAAGTATCAAATTGTTTTGTTGAAGACCTACTGTCTGACTGTTCAGTAAATGACAAATCAACAAATTACTGTGACTATTTAACCTATACTTACATCTCTGAAGATGTTTTTATTTTCACCGAATATTTGGGCATATAATACATCGGAATTAATAAGAACAACTAAGCGTGTGAATCTTTTCATTCTTTTTTTAACAAAAGTTTTAATCATATTTCTCCACCAATAAGTGCCTGGTTAAGTGTTATTAATGAAATTCAAACTGCAGAAGTCTACATTAAATTAAATAGTGTGCATTTACAAAGGTGTCCCAAAGATAAAAAAATTATAGATCGACAGCGAAAAAATGAAGAAAAAATACAAAAATATAAAGCAGGAACAATTAATCGGTATGATTTTATTAAATAAATGTCATTTAACTATACTATTTAATATTATTCTATTTAAAATTTTGACGATTTATACTTTTGATAAAAACTTACTCTTATATTATATAAAAATTATATTAATGTAGAAAAACTGTACAAAAGCACAATACATTTTTGGAGAGTAATAGAAGCCGCCTCCTCGTGGTACTCTCTGGGTAATGCTAAATGGCATTATAAAATTAATTAACACAAATTAATAATTTAAATATAACAAATTTATTATTATGTTAGATATAAATAATTTAAAGTAAGTGTTTCCTAAAGTGTGTATTATAAAAATTTGGTCGAAAAGTGCTATATAATATTCTTGGGCGAAAAGGGAAAGTAGTTTTAAAATATTTGGGTGAAAAGGGACGTGGGCGAAAAGCGAAGGGTCATTTTTGGGCAAACGGGGTCTTGACCGATAAATATATAATCACCGTCAAACCGGGTGCGCACAATGCGACTTAATAATAAATGTAAAAATTACAATAACAAGATACTGAGAAGCGGATGCGCACAATGCAACTTAATAAATATACAGTTTGAGACATTTAAGAGGTAGGATTTTTAACGGGCTGCGAAGTGCACGGGTTCAGCTAATTACATATATATAAAAACTCGAAACTATTATTCATACCTAACAAAAATATACATAATTTATTATGATTCAAATAAAAAATTAAATAATTATAATGTTTATTATAGTAGTATGACTTATCAGCTCAATAATTAACTGTCGTCAAAAAAGTAAAATTAAAAATAAAATCAATAATTATGTTTAATTAGGCCTTGTTCTGATATTATGACCAACTTTGATATTTTTTCTTCGAGAGCAAATAACTAACTAATAAAATTTTGAAATAAACTAACAAAATTTCGAACTATACTATAACAAAAATTACAACTGTTCAGTTACCCATGTACGATATGTACACGGTGAGCATATACCCATTCATCCACATAGATATCCCTATCTATATTAACTATATCGGATGTATAGACTATACGAGTAAAACTCAACAAACCAGATAATTACGATAAAAGAAATAGTAGGCATTTTATTATTATAAGCAGCCAAAAAAGTCAAGTAGTGTCCAATGTCCAAAATAGTAGTTATTAGTATACAAGATTATTTATTAATTTTGTTAGGTAAATAATTTAGTTAAAATTCATGTTAATACTAATTGAAATTTTTATAGTACTTCACATTGTATTTTTTATTTTACATAATGATATGTACCGAACTTTTTCCCTACAGACTTTTTATGTTTCGGACTTTTTTACCTCGGACTTTTTGGAAGTATACCAACATAATCAATTTTACTCATAGGAATAGTATAACTTTTAAAATGTTAATGATTTATTACTTTGGGTTCTTACAGTCAACATTTTTAGAATAGCATAATTCTTCGTCTCAATTTTAATTTTTCACGTGCCATTCAAATTTGACAAACGTGCCACTTTTGGCACGCGTGCCGTGGTTTCACCACCCCTGTTATAAAGGGTTTAAGAACAATTCAAAAAATTAAACATTCATAGGCTTGAATTTTTTCAAAAGCATTAAAAGTKAATATTTAGACAAAACTCACCTTTTACATTTTGAAGTATTTGTCATATTATTTATGTAAGTAATGTTTTGACTTTTTTGTAAATGTATTCCGTCACTTGTACATTGAAACGCAAGTAGATAATATAGTATAGTATACAGATTAACGGCCAAAAATTACATTAGGGGAAAGTTACATTGTAAATGTTATATATATTAACGCCATGTGGTATTTACTGGTATTAGTATCATAAGTAGTATAATACGGAAATAATTAAATTTTAGGTATTGGAACTAGTTATGAACATCATAATAGGTCGGGTAAGTATTTTAAATTTAATAATTCATTAAATTTTAAGTTTTGCATAATATCGTGGCCGAGTATAATAATTATATTTCCCTAGTTATTAATGTATGTACTATACCACCGAATTAATGTCCTAATATGGACTTTTCTGATGAATGTGAAATCATACATTTCCAAAAACTCTTAACGTTTACTATTAAGGTACTGCCTTGAAATAATTATATTTAATTTAACTATTTGTATTAATTAGTTGATTTTTTTTCAGTAATACCAGGTATGCATTTTTATTATTATATTTTGTTTTGTTAATTTAGTAATATTTATTAAATGCAGTTTGTTATAGTTCTGTAACAATAAACAGTAATGTCTAGTACTTTTTAATAATTTCTTGATAAGACAGGTCGTTACATTTATAAAAATATGCTTTTAAATTTTACTAAAAATGATACTTTAAACATATACCTAGAGTTGATTGTTGTAAGTTTCCGTTTTGCGATCCAAACAACTAATATTTTTATAAATAGTATGATGTATGTAGTCTTTTTATGATCGATCCTGTTTTCTATTGATGACAGACATTTTTTGGAAATGACATAAATAATATAATATTATGATAACGATATTATTGATAACAATTTAGACCGATTGAAATGCTCGAAATCAAACAAATTTCATGATTGAGAAAAATAAGTATTTAGTCTTAATATTGAAAATGGATTTTCAATTATATTATTTAATCTTATAATCTACATGTGACAAACAAATTTAACAATCCGGTCAATAGCTCAAATTTTTTATCATATAAATTCTTATAGTTTCAATTATTCATATTATTTTATAGGAGTATAGTTATACGAAGTAAATAATTATATAATATTTTCGTCTTGTCAGTCAATCAGTTAATTACCTAAAAAATAAAATTCTTTTAAATTTAATATAATAGATTTTTTTCAGATCCTAAATGGATTTATGATTATATTTGTCGAAGTATTAGACAATAAATTATGTATGTCTATTTTTTGTATGTCTGATGCACATTTACATAGAGTAAAAAAATAATTAATATTTACAAGTTTAGGAAGTTTCTTTTAACATTGGATTTTGTTAGTACTTCACGTACTAAAAAATAGCGAACAATTCCCAGTATTTTTTTTAAATATTCGGTTAAAACTTTCAAAGATAAAATAATTAAGCAAACTCCTATTCACGCGGTTTAGGTACGTCAGTTGGTGCCTGTTAAGAAATAAATATGATTAGATTCAGATTAGATAGGAACCTGTAAACCTGCTCATCCATTTCTTTTACGGGCATCTATACGAAATTATCATAATAAATGTAAAAACTAAAAGGAAAACAAATAACGTACATAAATGTTTAAAAATAAATATCGTTATGAAAATGTATATTATCTCCTCTTAGAATAGTTTTTCATCGTATTATATGATTTACCCAATGACAATACTAGCTATAAATCTGTAAATATTCATTATGATGTCAACTAAATCTTTCTTTTTTATAGTCGATGCTGGTAAGTCTATTATTTTCAGATCATAAGTGGAGCGATGAATTAAGGAAGAACAAAATATACATCTTACGCAAAAACAGTTTTCAATAAGATCGATTTAGATTTTTCTAGTTATTCTAAAAAATAATAGTATAAAAGCCCCTCCTATTTGTACTTCTATCCTTTTTGACATATTATTCTTTATAGCAATATTCACACGGTCCGTAGTTCACACTTTTTTCAACCGCCACCATGGGAGACGACGGTGTGACACCGTCGACTCTCCCACCGCGCTGTAGGCACAAGGTGGGACGAGAAGACAAAACAACCGTCGAACGACATACACGTCGATATACGTAGGTACACCACAGTCTACCGGACAGTCAACCATCAACCACTTTTCCTTTTCTTTTTCTGGTTTAATTAAAGAGTCACTAGGCTAATTCGTAACTAAAACCGCTGGTGTTGTATTTTTCATGTGTCTTACTGAACCAACACCCCCGCCATCACACCACATTTCTGAGACTGAACTGTTCCGGACCAATTCACCGGACCCATCGATAGCTCGTCTCAAAGTATTGCCCACATATCCAATTTTTTTATATTTTATTCAATATGTAGTATTACAATTAGTATAAAAGATAAATCTAAATCACAATTATTAATTTTTTTATCTAGTAAACTTATTAAGTAGGTTATTTTTGAATTTTTTTGTATTATATATTTACAGTTTATGCGTTTTATTATTACTTAATGTGATATTTTTCAATACTTTAATCTATCAATTAATGGGTGTCTTTCACCATTACAAAAACAGAATATTGTATTGATAAATACAATCAAATCTGTTGCAAGTGTACATTAGCGTTTGATTTTTTTTTTTTTTTGGGGGGTGGGATAAAGCTTTAGCTATATCGTTATAATTTAGAATATGTTTAAAACACACATATATATATATATCTTATATATAAGATTCTCGTGTCACAATGTTAGTTACCATAATACTCCTCCGAAACGGTTTGACCGATTTTTATGAAATTTTATATGCATAATGTTCAGTAGGTCTGAGAATCGGCCAATATCTAAGTTTGTATACTGTGCGATAAGTAGTGGTTTCGGAGTTATGGCCTCTTAAGTTTACGTTATTAGTACCATAGTATTCTAGCACGCACGATATTCAACATTTCATGTTATGGCATGGGGAGTTATATATACTTTACACTAAGTGGATGTGACATTTCACATTTATAGATGAAACTTGATGCGTTAAATTACCGACTGATTTATGCACAATCATTAATTCGCAAGATGCTCCAATTGAACAAATATTTCCGGATGTACACGCACAGTATATAAATCATGAATGGCTTGCAGAAAGAGCAATTTTAGCAGCAAAAAATGTGGACGTTGTCGATTTCAATCTGAAGATACAACCAACAGTTGTTGCCAGGGAACTTGGTATCATACAAATCTATTGATACAGTTTGCGATGCCAGTGAAAATGTAAATTTGCCAACAGTGTTTTTGAACTCACTGGATTTACCTGGCATGCCACCGCATAATTTACAATTAAATGTTGGATCTTCTCCGATTAATGTGCTTCGTAATTTGAACCCACCACGACTGTGTAACGGTACGCAATTAGTCATTCAAAAATTAATGAAAAACGTTATCGAAGCCAGCATTTTAAATGGCAAGTTCCGAGGTAAAAATATATTAAAACCACGAATCACTATTATACCTAAAGATGTGCCAATTCAATTTAAACGTATTCAGTTTCCAATTAGATTGGCATTTGGAATGACTATCAATAAGTCAAAAGGCCAAACGATGTCTGTTTGTGGCTTAGATTTGAGCACACCATGTTTTTCTCACGGAAAATTATACGTTGCATACTCTCAAGTGGGTAAACGATCCAGTTTGTTTGTGTTAGCTAAAGATGTGCTAACAAAAAATATTGTTCACGCTTTAGCATTAAGGAATTGATATTGTTTGTTAGTGTTACTGTCGTGATTAATTAATGATAAATATAATTTTGAGGAATAAATTATTATAATAAATTTAAAAAATAAATGTTTGGTGCTTTGTTATTTTTATCTTCCCTCATGGTTCACAGCGTTCCATGCCTCTTTCACTCATTTACCGAATCCTTACACACTTACAATAAGTTAATTATTTTTTTTCTACACTATAAATTCCCTAGAAATAATTTATATGGCAAAACAACGTTTGCCGGGTCAGCTAGTATAATATATATATAATTCCAAATATCACATAATTTTCATAACCCTTGTTTTGTATTTATTTCAAGTATTATAATTTCTTTCAAATAGCCTAAAGCAAGTAAAAATGTAGATTTCATGACTAACATTTGTTAATGCTATGCATTTATTTTTTATCACCTCATTTTCGGAAAAAAAAACATTATTTTTTCAATAATAAAATAAAATTCTTATATTGAAATTTTCTATAATAATTCATATTATAATAATATTTTTTTCAGTTTTTGTTGGTATGTAAATTTTATTATTTTTATTTTTACATTATTAAAAAATGTGAAATCGTATTTTAAATTAATTATTTTCTCCGGAAGATAGATACAAAATCTATTTAGTGACTAAAAGACATTAAAGTTCAAGTGTTAGAATCATTAAATTTTATTTTATATTGTGAGAATTTTTCCGAAAAATTCATCTGAAAAACGAAAATTTTAATTGTATTGTTATTTGTAATGTTTTATGACATTATAATAGAAAACAATAAGATGGATCCTATAAAATAAAATGATAGAGCACACACCTTTCAATGTGAGGCACATAAATAATAAGAGTATTTTTACAATGCTCTCAAATATGTACATGAATGTTTTAAAAATGGTCTTTGCGCGTTCATACAGCGTTGATTGTTGACATTTAAGATAAGTGCTTGGTAAATGTTGAGCACGCTTGAAGCTCGATGTATGTTGTAATGTAAAAGGTATTTTTATATTATTTCGTAGAATTAAGATGTTATCGCCCAGGCACAATCCATTAGAGACGTTTAGACGTTAGTAATTTTATCGTATAAGACAATCGGATAGCAAATCGTTTGCTAGATAATAATAATATACTATAAATAAAGGTACTCTCATCAGTATCGACGCGTATTCTTAATCGAGCGTAGTTTAAGCATACATACATTATTTATTTATTCAAATTCAAATTAATAATAGATAAAAATATAAAAGATATTTTTTATGAAAAGTTTAATGAACTTTTATTTAAAAAGGGCATGATAATTGTTTTTATTTAAGCACTGAAAAATATAACAAATATAAATATAAATGATGTTATATTTGCTAAAGCAAAAAAAATAATAAACAATACGAAGGGACTACAGACGATTAAATCGGTTTGACGTTGTGGATATGATTATTAAGAACCACTGAATACTGTTTTTAACATTATTCTATATATGTTTTAGTATTTATGTATTTAGCTGTAAAATAATTAAACATATTGTAAACTGATACGTGTGTGACAACAGGCGAGTAGGACTCCCTCTCCATACGACTGGTCTAAAGAATTTGCTGAATAAACCCTTTTGAACGGACGACCAGCTGGTATGCGGAGACTCGCACACGTAGCAGGCAGTCTTTGAGTAACGCATTACCATTACAGAACATTTCAGAGTATTCATTTTAAAACATTATAACAATTAAATTAAGAATATAATTTTGAGCCAAAGTAGTTTCGTATCGTTATTTTTTTATTTGTTACGGAGTCACTAATTGCACATCCATAACATTATGGGTAATCATAAACTAATCGTCCCGTTAAAAGCAGGTGTAACTAAAATTGTTTAATATAATTAAAATTCTTATATTGAAATTTTCTATAATAATTCATATTATAATATTTTTTTCAGCTAAAATTGGTATGTAAATTTTATTTTTTAGATTCTGAACGAAGTGATGAATGTATTGATTTTACAATGATGTGTTTTTTTTTTTTTTTTTTGTCTGTGTACAGCATAACTAGTCGAAATAGTGCTTCGATTTCAAACTTTGGGGGTGGTTTCCGATGTCAAAGTGAATATCCTAGGTGCATTATAGAGGTCAAAAATAAACATTTTCCAACAGTTTTCAAAAAAATCGATTTTTTTATAAGGTTATAATTCAAAAACTAATCACTGTAAATACTTAAAATTGTCACCAAATGTTTATGTTAGTGTTATATAAATATATATATATATATAGACATTTTAATTTTCAAAAAGCTTTGACTTTTTTTGAGTTATTTATAGACCACTGAAATTTTTGATTTTTTTGAAGTGTCGGTAAAAAAATTTTGGACGACCAAAAAAACTTGAAAATTGTATACAAGGTTCCTTATGAGTTGTTTTTATTGTAGCTAAAAAAAATTAAAAATCGTTAGTCACAATTTTTTTTTATAAGCGTTTATAGTTCAAATTTTTACGAGAAATATGTCGAAAACGCGAAAATTTGCAAGTAATTTTGAAGTTGAAAAATCATTTTTGGCCCTATCAAAATACTTGAGATTTTAATACAAAGTTTCTCATAAGTTGTTCATATAGTGATTAAAAAATTATAAGAATACATAGGCACATTTTTTTTTCTTAGCATTTGAAGTTCAAATATTGTCAAAAATTCGTCAAAACCATGAATATTTGCAAATTATTTTTAAGTTGAAATATCATAAAATTTTTTCGTTTATAACTAAGGATTAAAAATACAAAACTAAGTTTTCCATAAGTTTTCCTTCAAGTAGCTATAGAGAAAACTCGAAGCATCATTATATAGGAAAAATTTGAAGTACGTTTGAATTTTAAATTTTTTCGAAATAGCGTTACGATAACGATTTATCCTCAAACGATTTTAAACATTTGTTATTAATAAGTATATAATAATTGTTTTTATTTATGCACTGAAAAATATAATAAATATAAAATATAAATGATGTTATATTTGCTAAAGCAAAAAAAATAATAAACAACGAAGGGACTACAGACGATTAAATCGGTTTGACGTTGTGGATATTATGGATAATCATAAAATAATCGTCCCGTTAAAAGCAGATGAAACTAAAATTGTTTACTACCTATGTAAAGAACGGAGAGCTATTCGAAATTATGCACGAAGCTCATGTAAGAACTGGCCATGGAGTGCGGACCAGAATGATGAACGAATTGTAGAACAATTTCAAAAATATAACATATGAAATTGTTATATTATTTTTAAGTTTATGTGTTTAATGCCAAACCAAACAGAAATTTCCAAAAAAGGTATTATAATCAAACTTATTAAGATAAGGTATTAAAATATGTAAGATAGGCCAAATATTCTCTGATGTTCAAAATATGCTTAAATATGCAAAATAATTTTTTTCGTACGAACTCTGTGATGGATAAATCGTCCACATGTTTCATCCTCACAAAGCTGCATAAAGCCAATAAAAATTTGTAAAAACCTATATATCCGCATCTAGTTATGATAGAAAAAGTATAAAATAAAATATATAATTTAAAATTAAAAAAAAAAGCGGTTAAGTCGTGGATGTCGCTCTTCTGTACAGTAGATTACAAGTGGGTTACTGTAATGGATGGAATTAAATTTGAATCCAATGATATTATATAATTGTATACGAAAAACGATTCTAAGTGGAGGCGGTTTATCTGTCTAGGAAATATTATAGATTATTAAAAATTTTCAAATCTTAGATTTAAAAAGAAAATTATTTATGAATTTCTAGTTTAAATTAATTTGCAAATTTTTATGATTTTTACGTATGTTGTCAAAATTAAAATATAAATGCTTGTAAAAAAATATTGTGACTATGTATTTCTTTTATTTTTCAACTGTGATTGTAACAATATGTTAAGAGCCTTGTATTAAATTTTCAACCTTTCCTACTCCACAATAAAATTTTCATCTATATTAATTTAAAAAAAACTAATAATTATCGAAAATTGCAAATACCTATGAATAGTTCAACTCAAGTTCAAGTTGAATTTGAAGATTGCATGGTGGAAATAATATACTTATATAAATTTTCGGTGAAAATTTCATGTATCTATGGTCATTTGTTTTAAGGTTACATCAAAAACCGAAATCGAGTTTGTCGAAAACTGATTGTGCGTAAAATTTCCCTTTAATTTTTAGTTTCTTTATCCCTATTATTTAGAAAAATATAAATTTGACCACCCAAAGTATCAACTAGATTCACTTTCTTATCGAACGAGGTACTGAAGTCAATAATCGAAGCACTTTTACTGCCCCAAAACGTGATGACAGACGCAAAAAAAAACACACACACATCATGATAAAATCAATACTAATCAAGACTAAATTTATGGTATCACATTATTTTATCATACAATATATTACAATTAATGGTTTCACAGTAGGCAAAGTGTAAATMCGGGCCGCACGGTTGGCTTAATGAAGTGAGCCGTGGCGGGCGGTATCAGGCCTACAGAGGCACGATTTCGATATATATATATATATATATATATATAATTACAATAAGGAATGAGTTCAAAATATCTTCACGGTCTTAGATAAGCTGTGAATGAGTTGAGAAGCTCGAAGCGTATACCTAAGCAGGCACGCCGGGTGAAACCATTAATGGTCCTGAAAAGGACCTTTTTCATGCAATCGCAATGGTAGATCGACTATTTGACCGTAATCTGTAGAGGAGACAACCGCGTTTACAGCCGCTGGTAGTTACTCTCAGTGCCGTAGGTCTAGCGTAGTAGTTATTCTGGAGTGTGCCGAGTGTGGCCGCTGCAAAAGTAGGTTAATAATCGGCTAGCTTATTGTTTGTTCAAACCTAGTGTGGAGCACTCGTTGATCTGGATCGTCGGTTGATGCAGTTTGTCATGTTATACGTTCACCAGCACTTGGAACTGGGCGTCGCGTCGCGGCAATCGGCTTCAAAACATCGATTTGGCTGCTATGGCAACTTGCGGCGATCTTCTAGTCTCTG